AATGGTTTGGGGGGGGGGGGAAACTACATAAAAAAGAAGAAAGAAAGTAGCACGATGTGGAAGGAGAAGCTGGTGTGAAAACAGGATTAAAAAATGGAGAGTGGAGACGTGTCTGACCATTGCCTGTGGCAATTGGCCTTGGCCTGGTGTGGACTTCGAGTTTCCTTCTCCTGTGTTTAGCAACAGGGCAGTTGTACCGGTCCTATTGGGTCACTGTGAGTCAGCATTGACTCAATGGCAAGGAGTTTGGCTTCGTTCTTTGGTTTAGCCAGAAAAGGTTGCATGCAACTTCTGCACTGGTTTTCCAGGCACGGTACTCTGTGAAGCGACAAGCCTCGCTCTCGTAATTAAGGACCTGGAGACATCTCATTCCACAAGCAAGCTTCTTGCCCAAAGGCACCCAGCTTTACTCGCTCCTTGGGCCAGGCAGTCTGCCTTGTAGTCTGCCTTGGGTTCTGTTGCTCTCCTCTGGCCCTGAATGGAGGGATTCATTTCCTGGGCATCTCTGGGTCCAAAGGACATCCTGCACTCTTGGATCTTCTCTCTCTCTTTCAAAAAAGATTATTTTTTATTAGGAGATCTTACAGATATCATAAAATTCCATAGCTCGGTCACATCAAGTTGTATGGTACTATTGCTACCACAAACAGTTTCAAAACATTTTCTTTCTTCTTGAACTCCTTGATAAAAACTCCCCTTTATTCCCTCCCCCAGCATGCCCCCAGAAACTCTTATTTATTTATTTAGCCAAATCTCATAAAATCTAAATATCCATTCACAGCAATTCTGTTACTCATCAAGTGTGGTTATACAGTAATCAATGCTATCAGCTCCCTGTTCCCCCCCTTCCCCACCCCTCTTTTCCTGAGCCCTCAGGGAACCATTGCTTCTGTTACTGTTTCTGAAAGGTTATCTATCTTGGCTTTCATGTACTGAATGATTTTAAATATACAAATGAGCATATGGAGTTCTAACATGTTTAATGGGGTAAAACAGATGAAAACCATAATAGTAAAGGAGGAGGATAGATTAGAGAACTAGAGGAGAGCTATGTGGCTCATCAGTGCTATGCTACATCCTGGATTTATCATATCTTCCATGTGGCCTTTCTGAGAAAGACCGTCTAAGAAAAAGAGGAAAGGAGAAAGAATGCATATATATTTCTATATGTATGTATGTATATGTATATATGTAAATATAGTGTACTTGTGCATATATATGTATATACACAACAAGAAAGCAGATAGACTTTGGGCCTCTACTTAAACCTTACCTCAGTACAAGAATGTTTTTCTAATGTG